GGACACTCCATTACAATAAACCTACTTGGGGAATTCAAGATTTATTATCAATTCTTTAATATCCTCAAGCACTGTATTTCAGAACCTCTTAATATAGTTCAAGAAATACAGCCCATTTATCATTGCAATTTAAAAAAAAAATATTTATTTCAAAATTTGCAGTGAAGGAAGAAAAAAGATAAATCTTTCAACATCAAATATGTGAGAAATCTTACATCCACAAAATTCTTGTCCTTCCAACTCTGTTATTTTCTTCAGGATATCTAAAAGAGCACCACTGACTCAGAGTTAGCACTCCTGATCTGCACAATGAGAGGTATATATTTTTAAAATAGCCATTAAGCAGTTCTGAAACTTAATACTTGGTATGTCCAGGCACTGACATATGTATTGAACCAGGACATCACACAGGCAGCAATGCAAAGCGCTCAGACAGCTGGGCTAACCAGCTCACCCAGTCTTCCTCCAAAACTTCCCCACCGAGCAAGAGCTTTAGAATGCTCTGAATAGAGTCCTGAGGTTCAGCTACTGAGCCACTGGTTCAAAACAAAACACTACGTTACGCTGTTAAAAACACTTACAAACCTGTTTCTAAGATCTAAACAGTTATTCCTTATGGGCACAAGCCAGATCAATCTACTTTTCCAAATAAGCTATTATACATACTACTGTTTACAGTGTACTAAAACAATTGGATTCTACTGATTCTGCTGGTTCTTTAAGCCAAGGAAAATGTGGAAGCAGGAACAGCATCTTCAGTGCAAAAAGATAATCTATCACATGAAACACTATCACTTGCTTTCCACTCTGTAGCACCCCATTCACTTAAATAGCATTTGAGAAAGTAAGGGTTTCTTTGTCATAATTTTTAGTTTATGTCATTGAAAGAGAAATAAGAAACTGAGCAAAAAAGAGGTCACAAGTGGAAGTACAAATAAAGAAATTAAACGCATGGTTTTCCTAGCTTTCAATTACTGAGGAATGTATGAAGACAGATCTAAGTCAATCTTTCAACTATTCAAATAAATAATGCTCTAAAATCCAAAACAACATCTTTCCCTTTGCAATCTACCTATTTAAACTCAATAAAAGGTCCACGTAGCTTAAAATATTTTAAATTAGAAATGGCCATTCAACAACTCATCTCACAGTGGACGTCTACAATCCCTTCATTTTTGTCCCTGTGCTTATTCTTTGTTATGCTGTGCCACAGCCTCAACACTTTCCCTTTGTTGGCTCTGTGGAAGCTTTCTGGGGTACTCTCTTTACAGTAAGACACAAACTGAGTCCTGGTCTTCCACTTTCTGAGGCTACGCTCATAGTAACAGGCTGTTTTCCAAGCATGCACACTATTTCCACTGTTTCTACTCTGTTTACAACAGAAGAGTTAAACTCCACTCCCCCACACCCCAACTAAAAAAGAAAAAAAAAAAGATTAGCAACACTTTTTCAGAGGGACATCTCTGTTTCTTCACATCCAACACCTTTCACTCCAACACAGTAGCTCATCTACAAGTACTACCACCCAATGTACTTCAGGAATTGCATGCACTACCTTTTCAATTACTTTGATCAATAGGGTTTTCTTTTGGGAAAGCTTACGTGATAGTGTTGCAGAGTTCAAAAATGGAAAGACATTTTAGGAAGAGTAAAGTTTCTTTCTTCAAGATAATTAATCAATCTCTGTATTTGCCTCACACCCTTAAGAAATGTGTTCCATAACTGGGTGAAGACTGGCTGTATCCGGTTTCTGCCATTTGATCTATGTTTTGTGATTGTTACTGTCCCTGCAACTTTAAAGTCACAGCTGTCAAGGGCATCCATGGACCGAAATTAATTTATGTAGCTGACTCTCAGTACCTTAATAGCTTTAAAAAAAAAAAAAAAAAAAAGTAGGATCAAAGGCCTCAAAATAATGCTGGAAGGTGACTAAGAACTGGCAAGTAAACCCTATGTGGCAAGAGAAATCCAAGCCACAGCCAGCTCTCAATAGTTTAACTCTGAACTACCTGAAACCAGTGCTTGAGCTTCATAATCAGATGCAGGCAATTACGCTATCCTTATCTGGATATAAGAGGCATGAGTTGACATGGTACCTTATCTAGGAAGTAAGGATATTTCTTATAACACCTGAGATGATGAAAGGTAAGAGAGCATGAAGCAAGGTGAGAGATCAAGAAAGATGTCCACCAATTCTACTTTTTTGTTTATCTACTTGCTTGCAAGCCAGACAAAAGAGGCATCATGATGAACAATCAGCTTGTGTCTGATCTTTTCACTGCAAAAATTTGTATGCAGTCTGACTGGTTTTTCATTGGTAGAAGAAATTCAGAACATTATGTGGTAAACAGTGGGCAGATAAACCCCATTTTCTTGCCTTCTCTCTCCCATTAGTGGGGAAACTCTCATAAGAGATTCAGGAAGAAGGGTAGCACTGGTTACATCAGGCCCCCCCAGCTGAAGGTCAAAGAGAAGAAACCATCCCCTGTCATCACTGTACACAAAGTGGAGCTTTGTAAATGCTGAATTGTCAGCTCTTTCTGTATCAGAGGTGGACACAACTCATTCTAACAGACTGTAGAAGTGGAAGGGAAAAAAAAAGTATTGTGACAATTAAATTAGCACTCTATGGTACATCTAACTACACTGACTTCTCTCTTTAAAACACCATTACAGATATGTGGCTGTGGTATTCTGAATGAGTCACTACCACTGGAAATTCTTAGAGCTACAAAAGAATATTCCTGTTTATCCTCACCAGCCAGTTTCTGAACCCTTAAATAATTCTTACACACATACACAAAGAGAGGGGTTATTCCTAGACTTGTATTATCACATAAATGCTTCCAGACAGAAGAAAAATCTTTCAAGCTATTTTGGAAAGATTTCACATCACCTGTAACTGAGAAATATCAGTTCTTCTCCACTACAGGCTGAATTTCTACCATAAAGATTGAAAGAGTCTCAAATTCACAACTTACACTGCAAAACTAGAGAGCACACAGTATGGTAAGAACATATTAAAAGCAAATGAACTTGCATTTAGCACATTACCTTTCTAGTTACTATTAAAAAAGAGAATAAAGTGATTGGTAAAATAGCACAAATAGGCTAAGTATTTGTAAAATCATAATGACAGTTCTGACAATGATCTAATACTTAAGAATCCACACATCTTACTGGTAACTGTAATTTGTTTTGTTTTTAAGAGTCTGCTACCATAAGAAAAAAAATACAATTTAAAAAATGCCACCAAATAGTAAAAAAACCCAAACCAACCAAGAAACACATGTCCAGATGTCTGTGTAAAGAGATACATTCATTAAACTACTACTAAACACATATATTACAGCTATTAGGGGCACACCATTGTTTTGAGTTTTTTTTCAATCCTGAAGAATTCTATAATATTTTACAGAACACATCACAGAGTACCACAAAAAAAGTCTGTCTGCAATTAACAGGATTTTTTAAAAATACGTTTGCAATTTCATTTGAATCTCAAATTATTATTATTGCCGCAATAAGGGATCCTGTTGTAAGCAGGATATGAGTAACTTGTGACTAATAGCCCTGTTGTTATACAGTTTACCACCATACTGATGAGATTAAAAGAACAGTGACTAATAATGCAAGGTGTATTCAACACTGACCATTTTCTTGCCTTTTATTTTCAAATATACACCTCAGTCGAGATAGTAACAACCACCACTGTTCAGTTAAGTCTGGTAAAATAATACTGAAGGAGGAAGTCTAACTGGTCTAAATTGGCCTTTTCTGTGCAGAAATATTAAAAAGAAAATCCTTGTAGAGTAAAAATTCCTATAATACATGATCATCCACAATTGATATATATTGATTTGTATCATCCATCATCAATGCAAAGCCAATGGGCAAGAGAGACAGAAGGATGTTAAACAAACAACTCTACATGTGTCCAAAATTTAGGATTTTCTCCATCCAACATAAATGTGATAATTCAGATTTTTAAAAGTCACTCAATCTCTATTTTACAGCTGACAGGACTTTACTTGCACCCTGATGAGTTCATCTCCACATCTGTAAAGTGAGATGTTAAAGAATGTGAAATTCCGCTAGTCATTTATTCTCTTTCGAACTGGAATTTAGTCTCAGAATTTCAAAATTTTTAAAAATCTAAACCATAAGGAAATTATATCACACATTCAAGAAAAACTCCCTGGAAACATTGTTAATTTAAACTCAGGACTAGAATTAAAAGCTTCTCAAATTGCTCCACAGCAGAAAAAATATAAGAATTGCAAAATTACATGTCCTAGGAAAAGATAACATTATCAACAGGCCTGCTGGGATCAACATCTGACCTCTAATGCTTGAAAAAGATACTCAGAACATGATGCAGGGTTGGAGCATGTGTGATCTCCTTTCAGCAAGAGTCTATCTAGAGCTTACATCATTTTGTGGACTAGTACAAGCTTCCTTTCTGTAGCATGGATTCTACGACACTAACAAAACCAGCAACAACAAATCATGCAAATGCTGTCATGAGTAAGCAGCAAAGTGCAAATATGGTAAAATGACATTATTTCTTATGGTCAGCCAAAGAAGAAAAAGTCTGCAACACAATGATGATGTAAGCAGATCCATACAAGTGCACAACGCCATCATGCACAGGTCCAGAACTTGCACATGTTATATATAAATACGTTTTAATCATTAATTAATGAATTAATACCCATCTTGAAACACATCAGAAATTACATTAATAGCCAGCCTACTATTCTCTTTTTTTTTTTACTGCCCTTTCCTTCATACAGTATCTTCACATGACACTATGTACTGGGAGGTTTCAGAGGAGGTTCCAGTACGGCCCAATATCAGAAGACAGCCCAGGCACCCGTGGGGAAGGGAAGAGGCTACTCTCGTTGGAGAAGCAGGAGTCTTTACTACAAAAAAAATAAAAGGAGATGGGCCTAAAGCTACAGAGAGGCTAAAGATTACCTCGAGTAAGAGCTGCTTACCTGATTCGTGACCTGAAAAGAAAGCAGAAGAGAGAAGGGAGTTAAGACCCCAGTTAGATCGGCGGGCTAAGACCTGCCCCCCCCCCCAGCCAACTCTCAGCCCGCGATGCTGAGCCCAAGAGCGGCCCCGAGCCCGCTCCCCTCCGCCATCCTCCCTCCCTC